CCCCTTTTAGGCCTTTTCCAGGCGTAAGATTATATTTGAACGACCCCTTTCCTTTAGGGGTTTTCTGGATGAATCGATCCATGTCTAGATCTACCCTCCTGGCCTAAGATTTAAAGTCTATCACAAATTTTTATACTAGATCTATCTGATCTACTTGGTGCTACGGAACCAAGCAAGCTAAGTAACCAGACGATCGTGTTTACGATTGAGTTTACTCTATAGATATCTAGATATAGATCTAGAGTCTAGATTTAGCTAGATCTAGAAGAAGTAGAAGATGATTCAGTCCAAACAGGACTATTGGGGAGGTCAGGTCGGGACGGGTCGGGATGCTCGACAGACTGACGGCGCAAAGTGGCTATCGTGGCACAAATCGATCGCGCCCGACTCGTTGCCTCAAAAACAAACGTGTTGTTTTCAGGCAGCGAGTCGGGCGACTGTGTCTCGACCCGATCTCATCCACGTACATTGGAGTCCACTTATAACGAGTCCTGAAACAACGAGAAGTCTGTTATAACGACACTGCTCTAAAACCACGTTTTTTCCCCTTCTTTATCTTTGTAAATAAAATACTACTATAGCGCTATCGGACAACCAGGGGAGTCGGTTATAACGGAATATTGCTGCTGCTGTGCACAGCGCACAAGCCGGTTATACATATAAACCTCGCCAGGTGAGAAACTTGTAGGTGATCTAGCGAAACCTAAGATCTCACATCAACTCCTTGAGCGAAATAAAGAATAGGAGAGCCCACGTTTGCCAACAATGAATGTCGGAGCGAATGAGTGGGGAGGGTGCGGTAAGCGCGGACAAGCAGAACTCATCGTGTGATAGGCCAGCCTAGTCTAGATTATCTAGACCTACCACTACCCATGCCCTCACTTCTCCGATGCGGGGATAGAGAGGTCACAATGGTGTGATGGATGGACTAAATGTGTAGTAACGTGCACAAGCAGACGAAACACACCACGGTGTGTGATGGGGTGGGGGACAACACAGAGGGCGAGTTAGCCCAGAGCGCATTTTTCTGATCGCCAACACCGTGCTGTCAACATCACTAGCGCTTGAGAAAGAAACCTGATTTGATTTTTTGATCAAGTAAGACCCAGAGGTCATGTTGAACAATGTTATCATCCGGGGAAATAAGAAAAAGAAATAAACAGAACACCAAACTAATAGATTAGGCCTACTTCATTATTTCCATTCAATTTATTACTGGATTCCTTATAACGAGAATCCTGGTATAACGGACATTTCGCACCGGTCCCCTACCTCTCGTTATAAAAGGATTCCACTGTAGTGCAAAGTGCAAAGGAAGTGGTAGTTCTAATTTCAGGTACGAATTGTCCCCCTTCGCGTCGTTTTTTTTAGTTGTGGAAGAAAATTTCGGTCATTTTTACCAAAATTGATTTATTATTTTTCCAACTTTTGCAGAAAATTGCCTAAAATTGCCTAAAATTCACGAATTCACGAAAATGGCAAAAGTTGCGCGAAAGTTGCGCTGAGGCCAAAAGTTGCGTGCGCAACTTGCGGGTTGCGCGCGCGAATTTCTCTGAGGACAGTTATATACCACCAAGCAGCATAATAGTTTCCAGAATTTAACCAAATCAGTTCACACCTGTACCAATAAAATATCCATCTGACTAATGATAGTTTGCGTTTGAGTAAAGAAAAGTACATCCACAAAATCACTGTCATTTAGGGCATGGGAAAAGCATGAAAGACAGACAGAAACAACAGATGAAGGAAAAAGAAATAGAACCTACCAGTGGTGCCCTCCAACCTCCTGACTATGGGCACAACATACAGAGAAACCTCAAAAGTTGAGAAGACAGCGCAACTAAATGACATAATTACAACAGAAAGTCAAATAAATGAAGGAGAGAGGGGAAAAAAAGTCGTATTCTCTACGGTCTTGGAATATAAATTGTAAACTACAAAAAAAACAATCTAAAACACTTTTTACAAGAAAAACCCTTGTTACAAACTGCCTCAAATGATGTTCTTCTTTTAAACCATTCAGTGCAGTTTACACAGTTTCCAAACATAGTTTTCATTATCACACCTGGAAAATGTTCTGGGCCACTGTTGACACAATTAGGATAGATGATTTAGGAGGTGGCTGCTACCACCCAGGCTGAGTGGGATACTACAATAGCCCACCTGAAAGATGCAGGTGCTGGATAAAATAAACATCTGTATGCACAAATTGAGCCTTATCATTACACAACAGCAGCTATTTCATTTCAAGTAGTTGCCCACATAGGAAGTGTCGACAAAGAATGCAGAGACAAAATTGTGGATTAAGTCCCCTGTCTGAAGACCTTATTTCCAGATAAACATATCAGTTTAGCAGCCTCAAGATTCTGAAACGTGTTGATAAACCCTTGGATAACAAAAACACTTCATCTTTGTGGATGACATATATAGATCTATTCCATTCTTTCTAAAGTTCTTTGTGCAAAAATTATCCCAAACTGTTGGAATATGGAGCAGATGACTATGGATCTAATCCCAAGTGGGGTATTTCTAAACTTTAGTAGAAAAGGGAGTTTTCAAAACTGTTCGTCCACTTGACTTGATCAGTGGATCCATCTCTTAAATAACCTATGGGCTATTGTGTTGATACAGGAGTAAAACTCATACCTTATCATCATATACCAAATTATTGTAAAAGAGAAGCACACCTACACAAGTACGCAAGGAGAAACAGACAGTTTAAAGCTTACATATTATTTATGTTGACCACAATTTGAGCGTCATTTTTCAAGGCTGCAACTTCTGGAATGTTCTTTAGTGACTTGGAGATTACGATGGCAGCTTTCTTTGCCTTCTCAGTTATTTCTTCAGCTGCACATGGCTCTCTGGGGATGCCAAAATATCAGATTAAGAATTGTAACTTAAAAAAAGTGATGTAAACTTAATATTCTCTTAGCTGCACAGTGTCATAGGTAGGTATCAACTGACATTTTGTCATCACACAGGTTTTCATGTTTTCACATGGCGAGTGCACGTCGAGAATTTGTATGTGGAAAGAAAGTCTTTGAGTGAAGTA